TAGAGCCTAATGCGGATAAGGGATGGCAAACCCTGACTTCAAATGCCCGGCTCACAGGAGTCGATAAGGGTGGGAGAACACCCGTTCTTGTTAGAGTTCCTTGGTTTCTGGGTTGTTTTCCCCCCTCCCTTTCCCCAGCTTATCCTTCTTAGATATTCCACTTCCTTTCTCTCCTCTCCTTAATTACTCCTTTCTTTATATTCCCCTTCCTTCCGTGTGCGTGTGTTTGTGTGTGTGTGTGTGTGTGTGTGTGTGTGTGCGTGTGCGTGTGCGTGTGCGTGCGCGTGCGTGGGCGTGTGCGTGTGTGTGTGTGTGTGTGTGTGTGTGTGTGTGGGCGGAATCTGAGCCCCTCCCTACATTATTGGGGTGGGGTGAGGACCTCCGCCATTAGTTTACCACCGGGCAGTAGAGTCTTCGGGTTTTCTGATGCTGGATGTAGGAACCGGGGTCGATAGGGATACCATGGTCACGCCTTTAAAGGCGGGTGAACGCCCGTTGAGTTGGGGCGGAGGCTTTCAAGTGCGGCCCTCAAGCCATGGTATTCTAGTCGAATGACGGTGAACCCATTCATCATCTCGGGCGGCCTATATGCAAAGGATGCGGGACACTGGTCCTCCATGCCTTACGGCCGGTGTCTTTCTCCGCTTTCCCCTCTAAGAAAGCGAATTCCCCCTGGGCGGCTTACGGCCACGGGGATCCCGGGTAGGTAGTTTATTCAGCTAGATGGCAAAGTTTTGGATAGGGGTGATGCCTTCCCCTCATAATTCCGTAGGCATTCAGCATGGCGGGCAGGGACGATACGGGTGACGGGGATAGGAGTACAGGGAAACCTGGCCCCCCGAGGTCGGCATCGTCACGGCGTAGGATCCGCCTTCCCCTCGCTAAGTAAAAAAAGCGGATGCGGGGACACGGGTTAGGAGTCGACGTTGCATGTCGGCGACAGGGGGCCTGCTCACCCTTGGATAAAAAATCGTAGGCAGAACGAGTGCTCCGGTGTCTCGCGATGAAGACACCCTGCACAAATCGCTTCCACGTGGAAGCGAAGCCTAGCTCTACAATGGGAGCCCCGGGTAGGTAAGGCCCATCATGTCGTGGACGCGGCATGGTGGGAAAGAGGGTTGTGCTTCACCCTCCGGAAATTCGGAAGCACACTTAGATCGAGTCACGGGTGCCGTCGAGTGGCACGGTCATATCGGGTGACGGCTGCTACTTCGTAGAGCCTAAGGTCGATATGGCCGAAACAGGAGTCTGCACTCCTCCTGTATAAAAAGGCGGATGCAGCGACACGGGCAGGGTCGATGAGGGTGACGAACCATTCCTGACCTTTCGGGCGATGGAATGAGGAGTCCCGAGCCTATCATCCACAGGGTGGGGTACGCTTCCTCCAGCCTCCTCCGAAAACGCGGAGCGCACGGTGCCGGGGGTGCATCACACGATGGTGATCACCACGGTTAAATGGTTGGTGCCTGAACGGGCGGTGGGCACACCCTTCGATCGTGCGGTTCCTTTGATCACACGCTGGGGGAAGTCGCATCCCCCCCAGTAGTAATCAGAGAATACTCCTCTTCTTCTCTGCCGAGGAGGGGGGCCCCTCCAAAGAGGTGAGCTCGGTTAGAGGGTGGGCTCGTTTCTCAACACAGGAGTCCACCAAGTGAAGGCCTGCCTTACCCCACTATAAAAGAAACGAAGGCACACGCGAAATTCCGGGTCCCCCTGGGTGGCTGGATACCTGGGGGGACACCACCATGGATGGTTCCCCGGCAGAGGGGGATAAAATTGGAATGGGCAGGGTGCCTGCATGCGGGTCGAAAGACCCGTAGTGTACGGACCCTGTTTTCGGCCCTCATAGAAGGGTGCACTCCACCGATGCGAACCACCTTGACGTGGTGGAGGGGCTTAGCCGCCCCCCAGTCTCCGGGCCCATCGGGCCCCCCACTTCGACACCTCGGTGTCGGGGGGAGGGCCCGGTGGGTCCTTCGGGCCCCCACTTCGACACTTCCGTGTCGGGGGCGCCCGGGGGCCGGGGGACGGTGACCATGAGCTCGCATTGCACTTCCCTCCCCGAAAGGGGAGGAAGGGGGGTTGCGCTCCCTCCGGGCACTCTGGCCTGATGCGCATAGGGATAGGCGGCCCTGACTGCAATCGTCCGGGTTGAGGATCCCGTGAAGGGTGGGAAAACACCCCAATCCTCACTTTTCTCCCCCCAATTCCTGTTCCTTTCCTTAGTTATCCCTTCTATACTTCTCTTACCCATCCTTACCCTTCTTCCTTGTTCTTTCCCATTGTCCCATTTTTTCCCAACTCCTGGTGTGTGCATGTGTGTGTGTATGTGTATATGACGGTTCTGGGGGGTTTTTCCTTAAACCCCTGGATTTTGGTGGTTCCCTAAAAACCACTATTGAAAAACACCATGAAAGAGCAGCACACAAAGCCGATCACTACTACTCCAGCTGAGTCGGATGCGGCAGGAGTATTGTCCCAGCTCCGGTGGCGTCCTCATCGGACGATGGGCCAATCGCGACGAATGCGGCAGGAGTCGCGAAGGAAGTAGCTACTGCCGCCCCTAATATGGTAGAGGAAAAGGCCACACCTCCAATAGGTGGCACTCACATTCCTCCAACTGATGAGTCCGTTCCTGATGGACAAATAACTCATTATGCGTCAATAGCTAGGGAGATTTCTCCTTTGGATACGCAACAAAGTATTGTGCCCGCTCTGGAATCCCAGAGCTGGGTGAATCTTATTGATGAAGAGGAGAAAACTTCTTCAATAATGGCTCCTAGCAAACCCAGTGTAATGGACGTAGATGAAGAAGCTAATGATATCAAACGCGCTGCGACTAAAAGGAAGAAACGTCGGGTAATTGATACCGACTCTTCCGAAAATAGCTCTTCAGGAGAAAATAGTAGACGAGCTCGTCCGAAAGCTCTGAGTCGTAAGGCTACTCCTAGTCTTAATCCAGATGAGGATATAATAGCTCCAAGCTGCTCTACAGTAGATAATGATCCTCCGGGCTCGGAGAGTGGTAGCAAGCGCAAAGTTGATAGACCTCGAAGAAAGGTGCGCGCTATTGATCCGATTCTCGCTTAGCAAAAAATCATCCAGCAGACTGGGAAGGCTCTCGATGACATAGACGCTGAATTGCTGTCGAACATGACTGCCTCGGACGTTGGCGCTCTTGCACTCGAGTACATTGATGCGATAGAGGTCATTCGCACCAAAAGTGGACGGCTACAAGGTGGATTAAGCGGCGAGCTACGTAAAAGGACACAAGGTCTTAGCGGATGTATTCGTGCGCTTCAAGAAAGAGCGGAACAAGTTGGAGATCCACAGGTTCTACAACGATGAATTGAAGAGCTGTTAACGGAAATGAAAGAGCATAAAAAAGAAGAAGAGCGTCGTAAGAGAGAAGTTAGTGAACTCCAATACACCATTAAGGAGTTACAACGCGAAAATAAGAGCATTCGATTGGAGCTCAGACGCGCACTCACAGAAATGAGGGAAGAGAAAGCTAGACGGATCAATGAAATACCCTCAATGAAGAATGATGATGAGGCTATATATAATGAGGATGAGTATTTACATGGTGTACATAGTGTAAATAAATGTAAAAATACTGTACATAGTGTAAATAGAAAGGTACATCGTATAAGTGAGGAAAAGGAGTTGTACATAAACAATCCACGCAACCCACTCCAGGGTTATCCAAAGAGTGGGCCTTTAGACCTCCGTTGCAAGGTAGGTCACTTGCCATTCCAATGCGAACGGAGTCCTCCCTGATACAGACAGAGATACCTAGCATGACTTTCGCCCAGGCGACTAAGAAAAATAAGAGAACTGATATCAAGATCATCAGCAACGTCCAGATAAAGCCTCCTCAGCAGGATGATTGTAGGCGGCAGCTACCAGAAGAAACTCAGCAGATTTCCCCCCCCCCACAGGATCAACAGTGGGCTAAAGTAGGAAAGAAGGGCAGAGTCCTTAAGGAAAAGAAACAGCCGAATGTCAAACAGCCGAATGTCAAACAGGGCAAATCAACCGTCCGTACTGAGAAGAAGCGATTGCCGAAAACAGCGGCCGTTAGTCTCAAAGACACTACCGCCAATTTTTCGTATGCTGATGCCCTAAAGAAGATGAGAACGGAAATTTCCCTCCAAGAATTAGGGATCCAAATGCCTAAAATTAGGCGTGGCATAAGCGGTAATACCATCATCGAGATATCTGGACCCGATAACTCTTCTAAAGCAGACAGATTGGCACTTGAGATTCAACGGGTGCTTAAGGAAGAAGCCCATGTTTCTCGTCCTATTCTTAACGGAGAAATTAGACTTACTGGGATGGATGTGTCCATCTCCAAGGAAGAAGTTGTGGAAGCTGTTGCGACGATGGGAGACTGTAAGATCAGCGATATCAATGCCGGTAAAATTGGTCATACTAAAGGTGGCGCCGGAGTAATTTGGGTTCAATGCCGAAAACCGCGGCAATTGCACTGGCGGAGAAAAAGAAGATCCAAATTGGTTGGTCCACAGTCAATGTGGAAATCCTCAAGAAACGTCCAATACAGTGCCATCGCTGTTGGCAGATTGGCCACGTTCGGGCTATATGTAAATCCAGTAGGGACCACACTGGAGCTTGCTTTAGATGTGGTAGAGCTGGACATACGGTCGCTAATTGCAACAATCAAGTTCGTTGCATGACATGCCTCGACTTAGGTCGCGAATACAATCACCGTATGGGCTCACTCAGATGCACTGGTATCTCAAACCCACCACCATCCAAAGAGAAGCCAGATCTCTCCAGTACACCGGCTGCTACTTTATCATTAATAGAAGAGGATCCCTCGGATAATCTCGATAGGAGGACGATAGAGACAGAGATGGAGGAAGATTAATAATGAGTTATTGCATAACTTATTATTATTACTATGTACATATTTACAATTATGACTAATATCTTATAAACCTAACCTTAATCACTGCCGGGCAGCACAAGATCTGCTAATGCAGTCGGAATACGAGCATAAAATCGGAATATCTGTAATATCTGAGCCATATAACATCCTAGCAGATGTTACTTGGGTTGGTAATCAAACCAATACGGCTGCAATTCACTATAATATGCAGTACATCTCAAGCATAGGCATCGTAAAGAAGATTGGACGTTTTTCGGTAGCGATCCTTTGGCAAGAAGTCCTGATAGTTTCGTGTTATGTCTCGCCAAACTGTGACCAAGACACTTTTGAAGAATTTTTAGACGAACTCACGGATTGTGTTGCATTCGCTAAGTCAGACATTCTTGTTGCTGGAGATTTTAACTCGCAGTCGATGTTGTGGGGAAGTCCAATAACTAATGTGCGAGGGGATAGTCTGGCCAGATGGAGTGCCACTCATGGCCTCACTCTTGTAAATACAGGTACACAACCAACCTGCATCAGATCCCAAGGAAGCTCGATAGTTGATCTTACTTGGACGAGCGCAACACTCAGCTCTAAGATCAGTGACTGGACCATCTTGGATCAAGAAACTTATTCGGATCATGTGTATATACTCTTCAAAGTACATAAGAATACTACTCTTCCTGGTATCCAGAAGAAACATCGTTATGCCAGATGGGCTTTCAAAAAGTTCGATAAGGATATATTCCAAGAAGCGCTGGAATTAACATGTACTGGCTTGGAAGCGTTAGCGGAAGATACCCTCTCTGCTTCCTGGATACAGGATACTTTGACTATGGCGTGCAACTATACAATGCCTAGGGCTAAGCCAGTTAAAAAATCCACTGTTTACTGGTGGAATTCCGACATTAAAGATCTGCGGAAAATTTGCCTCACTTCGCGAAGACACTGGCAGCGAGCAAAATCAAGAGCCAGTACGCTGGACATTAGATTGCGAGAGCTGGAGGAGTCCTATCGTACTAATAAGAAAAAGCTCCGGAATGCGATTAAACAAGCCAAGTCCAATGCATGGAATGAGCTCATCTCCACAATTGAGAATAACCCATGGGGTCTCCCTTATAAAATAGTATTGAAAAGGATTCGTAGATCCAAGCCCAGTATATCAGAGATGTTGGATCCTGAAGTGTTATCTCATACGATCACGAGACTTTTTCCTGCGGATCCATACTGGAACTTGGATGCTTTTGATTTACTATCAGAAGAAATTGTATGGAGAGAAGAGCAGTGTATGGAGACGACGTCAGCAGTGATGAAATTTGTTCAGCTCTACGTCGATCATCGCGTGTAAACAAAGCTCCTGGTAAAGACGGGATAAAAGCCCTCTTTCTTAAGAATATGCCTACATCGCTACTGGAACATCTTCGTCGTATATACACTATGTATTTACAAAAGGGACAATTCCCTATTTGGAAAAACTCCATATTGATTCTTATCCCTAAAGGAAACTTAGATCTATTAAATCCTAAAGTTAGGCCTATTTGCCTTATAAATGAAATAGGCAAGATCATGGAGCGAATAATAGATTCACGATTAAAAGATTGGATGCAAACACACCCAGAAGCCAATCTTTCTCCCAATCAATTTGGATTTCGTACTCAAAAGTCGACGTCTAACGCTCTCCAGGTGGTTAATGAATTCATCGTTGAGGCGCGACAAGATCATCACGTTGTGCAGCCAGTTTGGACATTACCAACGCGTTTAATTCTATCAGGTGGAGCTGCATAAGACAAGCATTGTACGATAAGGAATTTCCTGCTTATCTTCGCAGAATAATCCAGTAGTTATCTTTCGGACCGAACGATCGAGTACTCGGCTATGAATAATCAAATACATTGTAAGGAAGTAACAGCTGGCGTCCCGCAAGGGTCGGTCCTCGGGCCGACACTTTGGAACATAGCCTATGATAACGTGTTGCGTACTCCAGTGGAGGCTGGTAGTCTGATTATTGGTTATGCCGATGACACCTTGGTATTAACAAAAACCTCAACTATCGAAAAAGCAAGGGCTCGTATCAACCTTCAGTTGAGTAGGGTGCTACGTCGGATCCAGCACCTTGGATTGCAGATCGCGCCGGAAAAAACGGGAGCTATCGCGTTCAACTATAAGATACTTAGACCTAGGAATCCTATGTACAAAAATATTTACAGAAACTTACATACTATCGATGTCAATAATAACTTAGTGAATCTCCAAGACAATATCAAATATCTTGGACTAATCTTAGATAATTCTTGGAAGTTTAAAGATCATCTAATGTACGTTGAGGAGAAGGTCTCCAAGGTGACTAGGGCACTCCATGGCATCTTGCCCAACTTGCGAGGACCATCAGAGAGGAAACAAAAATTATATGCATATGCGATCTTATCAGTAATCAATTACGCAGTCCCTATTTGGAGCGAGGCAATATATACAAGGAAAACTATTAATATGCTATGCCGCATGCAGCGCAACGTTGCGATACGAGTGATCTCGGCCTATCGTACCGTGTCCACGGACGCGGCGCTATTATTGGCAAGGATACCTCCCACCCATATCCATGCAGCGTATTATAGGCGCACCTTTATTCGTGCAAATGACTCGAAACGGGATAATACGTGGAATCCCCTTGTAGAAAAAGAGATAAAGAACGGAGAGTTAGTACTTATGCGTAGGCAGTGGAAATTATACCTGCAACGCAGGGACGCTGCTGGCAGGCGTACCTTAGAAGCTATTTTACCATATTTTGAGCAATGGTTAGACAGATCTCATGGAGTTCTCACTTTCTATATAACACAAATGCTTACGGGGCATGGGTGTTTTGCCACCTACTTGTACCGGATAGGGAAAGCGAACACCGCCATATGTACTTTCTGTAAAAAGGATGAGGATTCTCCTGAACATATGATACAGGTATGTGAACAGTGGACAGAAGAGAGAGCGTTGCTAGTTAGTGTAATCGGCAACGATCTCTCCTTAAGATCTATAATTGGAAAAATCCTAGTATCGGAAGAGAACTGGGAGGCCTTCCACACCTTTGCGGAAAAAGTAATGTTGTCCAAAGAAAACGATGAAAGAGCCAGAGAAAGAGCCGCAGAAGCATCAAATTCTGGCTCAGTAAGACTCGGCTAATTACAAAACTCGAATTTGACTAGAGATGAATTGACTAGACTTAATTTGACTAGACTTAACTTGACCTGGATTTGACTAGAACGGTGACTAGACTTGACTTAGCCTGGCTTAATTTAGCCTGACTAGATTAGGGACTACCATCTGTGACCGGACGCGTGGAGAGAGTCAACGTTTAAAGAGGTTTACTGAGGTTCCTACCTTAATGATGTTACGGTCGCCAGCTCGTTTAACCGCCAACGAGCAAGGTTTGTCCCTAGATCCGCCAGTTGAGAGCCCCTGTCGTACGAGGATCCGCCGGTTGAGCGCCACTGCGTGGGATTTTCCGTATACCGTTGTTGCGCAGTGGCTGCGTCGTTGCGTCAGCCGTTACCACACTTGAGCACGGTACCCGAAACAAAGGGTAATTCGATACCCTTGTCGCCGCTACGCGTACGACAATCTAAACAGGCCTTTGTTACACTCGTTACAAAGAACCGCGTTCCGACACTGGTTTTCTCTTTGTCGGGACGACGCCGCCAAACCGCACTGCGGATTCCGCGTCGATTTAATGTTCGCGTTGTTCGCGTATTCAAACGCGAACGCTGCTTGCACGCGACGTTTCGCGTGTACGTCGATCTTCGTTTTCCGGATCCTTTCTTCCGTTCGTCACCCACGAGCCGGTTTCACGACCGATTTATTCCGCGGGAACGCAAGGATATTCGGGAATCGGGTTTCGCAAGAACGACACGTTTCTTCGTTTAAAAAATAATAATTAATATATATTTAAACAAAAGAATACATTCGCTTTATCGCGATTTGGTTATATTAAACTTAAACGGTTTAACGTCCTCGGGACGGACACTACTCGCACGTCTTAGTAAATTAATTAACGTTATTCTTAATTAATTACCGCTGTGGAAATTTCCTCTCGCGATATACTATAACACTCGCGTAAACTATTCGCAGTTTATTGTTCGGGAAAAAGTCCGGCGAGACTGGCCCAGAGCGACGCTCCGCACGGTCTTTTATACTGCCTCCCCACTCTTGGGCCGTTCCCACTCTTCGGACAAGCGCCGCCCATCTTTCGCTGGCGCCTGAATCGTGGCTTCCGCCGCAAGTGCACCGCTATACACTTTCGTGCACTTTTCTTAATTCTACCGCTTAACTAGATACGTTTCCGGGTGTGCGCTACGTCCAACACCTCGGAGACGATTGTCCAGGAGTTCTTTCCTTATATCTATTTACATTCTTCGTACATCTGCGCTCGGATCGCGTCTTTCGCTTGTCTTCGCACTTTTATGTACACTTCTTACGTTTTATGTTTTTCTGTCTTATCCGGCGTTCGGATGCTCACACTTTTCGGTTCCTAGCGTGTTTCAGTGTTATCCGCAACCGTTTGCTCGATTGCGCCTTCCAGATGCAACCTTTCGTACATCTGCACTTTTTATCTACACTATCTACACTTTCCACTGCGCTAGGCTATCCGTCGCCCGGATATCTACACTTTCGTGTGTAGGGAGTGTATCTGGGTCGGCCGCGACTATCTGTCCAACCGCGCCTGTTTGCTGCAACCCGTTGTGCGCCTGCACTTTTTAGCTGCACCTGTTGCACTTTTCGCATTTCTAGCGTATCCGTCGCTCGGCTATTTGCACTTCCGAGTGTCTCGAGTGTGTTTAGGCTGTCCGCAACTATCAGTACCGCCGCGCCTGTTTTCCGCAACCCGCGATACATCTACACTTTTGTCTACACCTATTGCACTTTTCGCTGTGCCGACGTATCCAACGCTTGGATATCTACACTTTTAGGTGTCTCGGGTGTCTCTATGTTATACGCGACTATCTGGGCAATCGCGCCTTTTGTCTGCAACCCGTCGTACACGTTTATTCGCGCTATTCGCTTTTACATGTTTTTTCGCGTTTCATCTATATGCTACGCGTTAATCTATCTTAGTCGTACGGTATTTAGGTGTTTACTAACCTAGCTAATCTGTTATAAATTAAAAATCTTTTATTCGCCTGAAACATGGCAATACTGAGTATATATAAACTTATCTCTATGTTGTGCGACTTAACGCTTATTCTAGTTTATTTTATTGTAAATATATATAATGTTTTCATAACTAACTTAATGATTATACATGTTTCGTAGGTTAATACGACTTAACGCTAATTCTTAACCTAATGATACGCAATCCGCGTGTTTATAATAACTTTTCTTTATTTTCTAGCGCTATATAACAGTTTTTTCTTAACCTAGACGCTATCTCTTGTTTTAACGCCAGGATGGTCCCGGCTGAGGATCGTCGACGACATCCTTCTTTTCCTCCATCCTTTTGAGGCGAATGACGGGTATCTTGTCACCCTTCGGACCCGTTCTGTATATTATTTTATCCGTCACCATCTTCACCGGAGATTTCAGCCTTATCCAGCTGGTGGTTGACGTGCGGGACGTATTGGCTGCTGGGCTCATCTTTCCTTCGGGTTCCTTGCTCACCGGTGTACTGGCTCTCAGGGGCTGGTCAGCCTCCGGCCGCACATCATTGTCGACTTGGTTTGGTGTGCCATTAATGAATAATTGATGAATCGCTAAATTAAACTAAACTAATTTGACTATACTAAACTAATTTTGACTCTACTTTGACACACACCATATATGTGACGGTCCAAACACACACACGCACACATACACAATACGGCGAGGGGTCATCTTTAGATAGGGGATAGGGAAGGGGGTAGGGTAAGAAGGGGAGATGGGCTAATAGGGAAGGGGTGGGTCTTTCATTCATTCATTCTCATGATACACAAGCACACTGACACTTATACCAGGGATATTGATCGAGTTTGGGGACATTGGTAGGGAGGAAGGTGGGGTAGGAGAGGGTAGGGGGAAGGGATGGGATTAAGTGAGGGATATTAGGGGGGGAAGGGTAATCATCCATTCATATACACGCATACTAACATTCATGCACTCAACACTACACGCATACACACACTACACTTACAACTACTCATCGCCATTCATTATATACAGGCACACGCCAATATACACATAACACACATTACACATACACCGGACAGAGGATGCCCGAAGAGGAAGTGGACGTCAAGTCCAAAGGACACGACTCCCGAGGCGGATCTTATGCCAACGCGGGAACCACTCAGGAGTCTCGTCCACACCTGACGGACGTAAAGAGAGGAGTTT